CTATATTTAAACAAACTATCGGTAAATGTTACTAAAGCTCTTTAAAAAAACCGTCTGTGTGTTTATTTCGATTTTTTGTTTTTTTCTTTGAATACAATTTATTGCAAATGTGTACAGCTGATCTATACTTAACGATTTCTGTTGATCGCATAGTCGAACTCTCTCTCTCTCTCTCTCTCTCTCTCTCTCTGTCTCTCTTTTTCTCTCCCTCTCTCTCTCTCTCTCTCTCTCTATATATATATATATATATATATATATATATATATATATATATATATATATATATATATCTATATATTACACACACACAAATACATATATATTTAAAATATGTGCATACAAATAAAAGAGGAGCCGCCGTTTTGATGAAGCTAGGCTCTCGCCTTTGTATCCAGTGAGGCTGGTTCAAATTCCGAATGAAACGTAACTTTTTGTTTGTTAAAAATAGGACATCGGCTCCTAGGTCGACCTAGTCTTAAAGGACGTCAGGTAACGTCCTGGAAAGTAAAGGCGGCTGGCGTGATGTTGATGACTCACCTACCAAATCCCGATTGGTCTGTTAAAAATAGGTCATACGCCAGAAGGCTTCGAAAAATTTGCTTTTTGCTTTTTTTTCTGCCCTAAGTCTGCGGTTGCGTCAAATTGTTTTAGACGTTATTTTTTTTCAGCACCACTGTAACAGATACTTTATGAAGAAAACCTCAACTATTATTCTAGCGTAAAGGCGCTATGTGTGTGTATGTGTGTGTGTATATATATATATATGTATATATATGTATACTCTTACACAATACATATATTCATGTGTGTGCCTATTTGATGTTCTCTGTTTCCGTTTGATGTGTATGTGCAAACATAAACTTTCTGTTATATTGCTATTATTCAGATTGCCTAATCATAAACTTTCTGTTATATTGCTATTATTCAGATTGCCTAATCATAAACTTTCTGTTATATTGCTATTATTCAGATTGCCTAATCATAAACTTTCTGTTATATTGCTATTATTCAGATTGCCTAATCATAAACTTTCTGTTATATTGCTATTATTCAGATTGCCTAATCATAAACTTTCTGTTATATTGCTATTATTCAGATTGCCTAATCATAAACTTTCTGTTATATTGCTATTATTCAGATTGCCTAATCATAAACTTTCTGTTATATTGCTATTATTCAGATTGCCTAATCATAAAAACTTTCTGTTATATTGCTATTATTCAGATTGCCTAATCATAAACTTTCTGTTATATTGCTATTATTCAGATTGCCTAATCATAAACTTTCTGTTATATTGCTATTATTCAGATTGCCTAATCATAAACTTTCTGTTATATTGCTATTATTCAGATTGCCTAATCATAAACTTTCTGTTATATTGCTATTATTCAGATTGCCTAATCATAAACTTTCAGATTCTCAACACAGGCCGTGACCAGCTCAGCCTAGAAGACCTCGAAGAGGACGGGGACAATTCTTGCGACGGTACCACCAACAGACGAAACGTTGGGGAGCTGCAGATCAAATACAACGGCTTTGGCATAGACTGGATCACTTTCTTTCAGAACATAATAGAATCACCAGACGTCTCAGAGATTCGACTGTGTCAAGTGAAGCTAAGCCTGGAGCTGCAGCACTTGCTGAAGATCACACCCAAGTCCTCCCTACGCCAGTTCATCATTCTCCACACGTTAATACATTCAGATTTGTTTCTTCTCTTCAACAAAGGCCATATGACTGCAGTTCAGTCACTGGATAACCTGGTAGTCTCAGAGACCTTAGAAGATCAGTGTTTGGATATTCTTTTACATTTTCTCCCTTCTTTGGAGAAGTTCTCAGGATGTGACGACGATACACTGTTCCACAATCGCGGTAATGCTTTGTCCACATTGCGCAACATACGCTCATCGCTCTACAATGTTCTAACCTCATCCCTCAAGTTGACAAAGGACAACGCAGCCGTGGTTACTAACTCCAGCATGAAGACCGTTACTGATTCCATTAGCGAAGAGCTAGTAGCCAGGTGTCAGGTCAGTGCTGGGCCTCAGGGACCTTTCGACGAGTACAATTTCCATTCTAATATGTTACGTATTATACAATACCGACATGCAGAATACTTCCGAGGTCGTTTATCAGGGGTCACCGGTGATTTAGATCTGTCTGCTTTATGGATATCTTCCAGTGTTCAAGGTAAGATCAGATATGTTCTATTCTGTCTTACTGTTGCGTTGTAATGGTAGGAGAAGACCGTATTTTCTCAAAATAAACAGTACCCATGCGCTGTGGAAATTATTTGTAAGCCACAATACCAAGCACCAACACTTTTTAAGGGGTAACGCTGAAGAACAAGAATAAGATGTTTATTACATTCTGTCTGAATACGAAGTATATGGCAGATATACAAAAGTAGCTATTCAATGTTGGCTATAAAAGTAAACAATTAAGGAAAGGACCCTTTTCCACATCTTTAGTTACTAGCATTCGACATAGAGGGCTAGACCCCCATCTTATAACCAATCGGCACTTTGTGGGTGATGCGGCCAAGGTAATTTTAAAAAAAAGCCCGGTTTCGTGAGGACCCGAACTCACCACCTTCCGACCCGCAGGCAAGCTTCGAGCCACTATACCACGACGACTCTCAAAGTTAATTATATTTATCACTTTTAAGGCGATATAGTAAAGGGACATATGAGGCTGCGCCTTTTGGATTGGGTGACTAGAGTCGTTCACAGACACCATGCAGATTATATGTAATTGTCTGATTCATCACCTTACCAAAGATTCGAACAGGTTCACGTGAATAACAGTGTTGGGTGCTGAACTCACTTTGCTGTTCTATTGTACCAGAGGTCAGAGGCTTGTCGCCTATGTCAGTCATAAAGGCGTTAGATGATTTTGATGACAGAGATGAGTGCACAAAGTCCACGCTACTTGACGCGTGAGACTGGTTTCTTGAGATTAACGGGTAACAGCGGTCTCCACGGGTATTGTGAGACCCAATCGTGGTCAGCCGCGGCGCTGAAGGTTAACCAGTGTCCAGTCAGTGCCTCTCGGTCGTTGAGATAGTGCGGACGCATTACAGATGTGTGTGACTTATATTTGTAATTAGTGGTACTGTTATATTCTGTTGGAGAGTTTAGACTGCTCCAGTTGAGTGTATTTAGTGGAAACAGGGAGGGAAGAACCCAACACTTATTTTGCTGAGTTGAGAGGAGATTGTCTTACTGCGATGATGAAAGAAGTTTTTCGCTGGTCGCGAAAGGAATCATTCTAAAGCGGGGACGTGATCGTTCTTCATCGATGCTCTAGCTCTCGACTTTATGTTAGGGAGACTGTGCCTGGAGTCTCTAGCCGGTTCCTTGTGTAGGATTCCTTGTTATGTTCTGACTTGCGACTGTGGGTCGTGGAGACGTTGAAAGTGTTTAACGTCACTAGTTAGTTCAATATGCATGTGCCTATTTATTGCAATGTAATATTCGCGGCAAGGCCGAGTAAGTTAATTGGAAATGGTCTATTACCACTGCTCGACATAGTGTGAGTAGCTAGCCGGTTGTCGTAGGCACAGAGACGGTGATTGCTCGTAGATCCAGTGACGACAGCAAGATTAACGATGTTACAAGTGTGTGATAATCATCAGACCGCATACAACATGGGAGCCAAGCCAGGTCGTTGAAACGCTCAAACAGGTGACAGATATCATGTCAAGTTAAACCATTTTCACCTTGCACTTAGATTCTCTCCACCTCTTTTCCCCATAGGGATTCTGTGGTCTCATTGGGGGAAGGTGAAGGGGTTAGGCCCACTAACCCGTCTTACAAGCATGTGGTAAAATGCCAAAAAATTAGATGCTTCTTTAAAGTCAGAATATATCTGTCTCAGCATACAAATGAGCAAGATATTCAAAACTCAATTTCTGGAACAGGATCAAAGTCCAGAAGAAGGCGAACAAACTGTCATGTTACAAGAAGAAAAAAATTGGAATATTTTGTGACTACTTAAAATATCAGTCGCAAAAGAAACAAACTAAGACAACGCGAGAAGGTTCTTGACGGCTTTTTGTCAGGGAGTTGAGGTGTGTCAGCACACCGATACATGGTGTCGAAGATCGCAGATTGTGGAAAGGCGTGACATCCTAGACCACAGGACAAGGCACGTGATATTGATGATGATAAGACTCACACATTGTGTTTTCATCATGAAATGCTGAAAGGCAGAACAGGACAAGAGTAGTAGTAGTAGAAGTAGTAGTAGTAGTAGTGGTTGTGGTAGTAGCAGCAGCAGCAGCAACAGCAGCAGCAGTAGAAGTAGTGGTAGTAATAATAGAAGTAGAGGAGGCAGAGAATAATACTAATAATTACAATAATCAAAAGAAGAAAACGAAGAAGTGGTAAAAGAAAAAGACAAAAATAGATAAACTACGTGCATCAAAATGTGTAAGATAAACTGTGAGAACAACTCCTAATTGAGCAAAATAAAATTTAAGTAAAGCGCTAAAAAGAAGTACAGAAACGAGGATAAAGAAGAGTTGGGAGATTGAAGAGAGACAAAAGTAAGAAGCAACGAGAAGAAGTTGAGAAAGAAGAAGAAAAAGAAGAAGAAGAAAAAGAAGAAAAAGAAGAAGAAGAAAAAGAAAAAAAGAAGCAGAAGAAGAAGAAGAAGAAGAAGAAAAAGAAGAAGAAGAAGAAGAAGAAGAAGAAGAAAAAGAAGAAGTAGTAGTAGAAGAAGAAGAACAAGAAGAAGAAGAAGAAGAAGAAGAAGAAGAAGAAGAAGAGAAAGAAGAACAAGAAGAACAAGAACAAGAAAAAAAAAGAAAAAAAAAAGAAGAAGAAAATGGGGAGGAGGAAGAAGAAGAAGAAGAAGAAGAAGAAGAAGAAGAAGAAGAAGAAGAAGAAGAAGAAGAAGAAAAAGAAGAAGAAGAAGAAGAAGAAGAAGAAGAAAAAGAAAAAGAAAGAACAAGAAGAAGAAGAAGAAGAACGAGGGGGAGGAGGAGACCCGATAGGTCACTTTCTTTTATGTGGTCTACCTGTTGATCAGTGACAAGAATTTTAAAAAAAAATCTGAAAAGACTTAACGTCTTTCTTTAATTCAGTGTCAGTACAACAGCCGACAACGACGGAGCAGAGAGAAAATTATTTTATTTCATAAGAACAAAAAATTCCGGATTCGGCCACAGTAAAAGGATAGTTTTTTTTTCTTTGGGTGGCGGGGGGGGGGGGGGGAGGGGGGGGGGGGGGGGGGAGTAGAATTACACTCCTAACTTGCACAGTTCGTGGCGACAGTCTTGCGGCCCTAAATCCTCTGACTCGCACCCTTAAAAACTAGTATTACAGACAGTAGTGTTAGTATATGAATATACAGAAGCGTAGACATGAAGAAAACACCGGGGGTGGGGGGGGGGGTGTAATAAGGTTAGGTAACCCCTCCCCCCCCTCCTGTTGTGGTTTTTCTAAGCAAATTTTACGTTGAGTAGTTTGCCATCGTCGGCTCTGTGGCTAAGCCGATGCGAACGCTTCGTAATGCTGGGATTCCGGGTTCGATCCCAGCTGCGGGCCATGCGCCTTGCTTTGGTTTTGACAGTGGAATAAAAAAAGCCGACCGTCTAGGAAGCATTGGCAAACTACTGGACGTAAATTTGCCTAGAAAAACCACATAACATAACTGTTGGGGTTGGTTCTGCAACGCCCTGTAAAGGATACGCAACTAACCATAACCAGTTTGCGTTCGCCTACTCAACGGTCAGCTCCCGATACCACTGTTGAAACCAACGCAAGACAAACTGTCAGCAGCTGGGATCGAACCCGTCACACCGACACCCCGGCATGACAAAGCACTTTCGTAACACCTGAGCCACAAAGGCCGACAGTGTGACAAAGCCTCCTAGTAATTTTCCATTCGTGGAGGGCAGCCGAATAGACATGGACATTGTTTGATTGCATAATAACAAAAATGGCTATTATTATGTGCTGATGGGCAGATAATATACTAATACATTTAAAACAATATAAAATGTAGTACAAATGCCTGAAAAGATAAGTTCCTTAAGTGGCTAAGGAAACTACGTAGTCCTTTGTCTGTAGTCCCGTGAATTTGTTTAGGTGGGGGAGGAGGGTAGTGGTAGAAAGACTCAGCAGGCTCAAAATTATTACTCAGGACTCACACCACACTCCCCCCACCACCACCCTGTTCCCCGTCATATAAGACGCGCCTAAGTATAAGACAACCCCATCTATAGGACGCCACCATGTATAGGACGACCCCATGTATGGGACACGACCTTATCTATAAGACGACCACATGTATAAGACGCCCCCACGTATAAGACGACCCTATGTATAACACCCCCCCCCCCCACATGTATAACGCGACCGAATGTATACCACGACACCATGTATAAGACGCCCCCCCCCCCGCCCCATGTATGAGACGACCCATTCTATAACACGACCCCTATGTCTTTTAGCCCAAAATTACGAGCCACGAATATTATTCACATTCTGCATGTAAGACAATCCAATATAGTAAACTTGAAAATAAAAAAAATATGAAAACGTATCTTATACACAAATAATATCTTATTTTACCAAAGCTATCGTAAAAGTGATATAACATACCATTAGTTAAAAAGAGCAAGTACAATTTATAGCTGACCATTCCAAAGTACTATTTCCCCGCGCTTGCAAAACTGAAGTTAAATCAACACCCACCTTTTTTTAAATGTCAAAAAAAAAAAAAAAAAAAATGACTGGTTATTCCAGCTCGATTTATGACGTCGCTACATAAATTCCCCATTACCTAGTTTATCTTAGTGACACTTGAAATTGAAAACTGGATTTCAGGCGGCACTTCAAACTAGCTAACCTGCCATTGAATCCGAATCGACTTCTACGATTATAGCTTCGGGTAATTCCTAGTGCGCTCGGGAGGTCAATAGTTGCATTCTAAACACGTTTTGCGTGGTCTGAGAATTGTAACCCCTTGCTTGTCCATCGGTTCGATTTCTTCAGCATAATCTAATAATACCCACTATGAGAATTTAAAAATTAAATAATTTCCGGTGCATTAAAAAAAAGCAATCAAAGAAGAAGAGCGAAATGAACAGTTGTCACCTTCTTATTGTTCTTGTTGTTCTTGTTCTTCTTGTTCTTGTTCTTCTTCTTCTTCTTGTTCTTCTTGTTCTTCTTGTTCTTCTT